ATTTTTTTTTGTCTCAAACATTAATGAACTAAGTTTTAAGACACTTTTTTTTTATAAATTAATATCTCCTAAAGTAATGCATTGATTTTTAAAATTAAATCACCAATTAATTCAGATTTTAACGTAGTTTCGATAAAAAAAAATTATAACCTTCAAAATTTGCATGTTTATATATTTTTTAGGTTAATATTTATGAAAAATTGTAAAAAATTGTGTTCTTCATCGAAATTTGTAACGAAAAAAATAGTGTATATAAAAAAAACCTTATTAAATAGATTTGCGTTTAGAAAAAAAATGAATCTCTTCTAGAAATGGAGATATAAAAACATTTGTAAGGCGGCGCGCTGCACTGGCAAGCGCGATAAAACGGGTAGTCGCGCGGAGCGCGTTATCTTCAAGCTTCGAAGTTCGTTGTTATTCAAAAATCGAAAAAACAAACGTGTTTATTAAAAAAAACTCTTTATTTGTTAATTATTATTAATAATTTTTTTTTGCATATACATTAGTTTACTTGCACAAGTATTTACTTCCTGATTGCACATGTTTTATATTCATTGGACGATGAAATTTTTCTGCACATGATATGTTTGCCGTCTTCACTTGGTTTAAAGCAATGATACTGGCGCGTATTTTTTATTGTAATTGCTTTCTTATAACGTGAAGTTAAAGCTTTATGCTCCCGATCGTGTTCGTTTTCTGTGCAAAAATCAAAAGAAACTTTCTCAAAAAAATTAATTGCCCAATTATAAAAAATCTTGGGCGTTAAAATTTGATTATATTCAGGTCGTTGCAAACTAACACGATAAGCATTTCTTTTTACTGTCGCGCCAATACCGTCACAGGCACTTTTTCCGTGGGATGTTGCAGAAAAATTCCATTCGACATTGATACCAGTAGATTTCATTAGAAATACAAGATTGAGAAAATTGAACTTATTTTTATATTGGGAACCGGAACCATCAGAAAAAAAGAACAACTTTTTTACATTTTTTTCCCCATGAACTTCCTTTAAATAATTCAGCATCTTTTTATTGAATAAATTCACTGCCGTTGAATCGTGTTTCATACTTTCCGAAATAATTACGAAATTGTGATGAAGGGTTTCATTATTTTCTTTGTAATAAATTACATAGGGATGTATCGTAACTTGGTTGTTTGACCAATGAAAAGACTGAATTGCATCTTGAATAACAAAACTAAAATTTTCAGAAAAATCCTCCTTTCTCTTTTAAATTTATATAATTTCACTTTTTTGTACGCCCGTGAGCGTACAAAAAAGTACTTTTTTCTACGCCCGTGAGCGTACAAAAAAGTACTTTTTTCTACGCCCGTGAACGTACAAAAAAGTACATTTATCTACTCCTACATTACGAGCTGTGACTTTATGGCGTTTTATTGACGGGCTGAAGTTAACAACAGTGGCTTTTCGACATTTTACGCCACGGGCTGAAGTAAGCTTTATTATAAATTGGGAAAAAGTGAGGTTAAATTCGGGTGACAGTTGACAGATGTCAAAATTTTAACAAATAAAATTGGCTTTAAATTCTGTTTTGTGTTCGTCGTAGATAAAGTATAGTATGCAACTCGTTTATAAACTTCTCTAGACACTCGTTTTTATTAAACACTCGCTCGCAAGCTTCGCTCGTGCTTAATTAAACTCGTAACTAAAATGGCGTTTATAAAACTTGATACATAATATACTATTTTCTACGCTGCTATGGGCAACCATACGCCGTCTGTGAAATCAAACTTTGACATCATGAATTGAAGTTAACAAAGTTGACATTTTTTGACGTTTGCGGAAAAAAATATATATCCTACTTATAGGAACCGAAATAAATGTATTTAAGAATTGTTATTTAAGCTGTTATTTTACAGAAATAACTTACCCTTTTTCTTCCTTAAATAATTATTTACCAAAAACTTAATTGAACAATTGTATTTTAATAATTAAACACTTATCAATAACGACTTTACAACAACACTGTTACCCAGCAAATTATATTTTGACGAATAAATGACAGTTCGAGGGTTTAAGTTTAGGACGTCAAAGCCCTCTATATTAAGTATTAAACGTTTTTGACAGTTGTCAAATATCGCCTTTTGGTTTTGTGTCTAGATTTTGTTGAGTTAATTAAATCTAACATACCTACGCATCAAACAAAATGGGCGCGCTCCGCGCGGGTCGTCGCACAGTGGGAGGAATTTCAAAAATCGCGGACAAAATTAGGGACACATTATTTTAAGCCATTTTAAGGTTTATGCGGTGGTAAATTTATGCTAAAATATTAATATTAATAAAATGTTTTAATTATGTACACAAATTCACAAATTTGTTTTAAACAATTTGAAAAAGTTCGGTATTGTCGATCCTCCATTTTCCAAAAACATAAATTAATAAACAAATATATTACGCAATATTACCTAAGCTAAAAATAGAAAAATAAACAAAAAAAAAACAATAACAATTAAGGAATATTCGAGCTAAATCACTTATATACATTTTTTTCGATACATCTTTTTTTTGGAAATTTCGCATCTTTTGCTTTATTTATATCGACTACTATAGTGACTTGGTCCAAAAAACCCTATATCGATGTTAAAATAACATTTAAAAGTTGACGCAATCCACGTTTTTCACCTACTCTCTAAAAATGAATTATTCAAAAATGACTAATTTAATAGTTATTATTGGCTGCTTTTTTACTTGTACCATGGAACCATGGAATATAATGGTATCCCAAAATTTAACATCCAATTCTTATGTAAAATTGTCCCCTGAATCCGAAAATGCCATAAAAAATTATAAAAGTGGAGCAGTTTTTAAAATATAGTCAATTCCATATTAAATGAAAAATTGACTATATCTCAAAAACTGTTTTACTTTTTTAACTTTTGACGATATTTTCGGATTCAGGGGACAATATAAGATTTATCAATAATATCCAGGTTTTCGGTTAGATACTTTAAAAGTTTGTTGTGTTTTTCTTTGTCATTAACATTTTTAATAAGTTCATACAACTCCTTATTAGTCGTTGATGGCATTTCTACATAAAAAGAAGGAAGTTATTCAAATAAACATGTAATATTTATATTAATATTAATATTATAACTTACCAAATATTATTATAAAGCGTTAATAAACACAAAAACACGATGAGATTGTATGTATGATTGACTTTTACTGGAAACTGACGTTTTAGAACTAGCAAAAGGCAACTATGATGACTTATAAATATTCGACTAATATGATAAATTCATGCACATATTTCATATTCTGCTGACCAAACAGGCAAAAAAAGGCAGCTTAATTCTTTTGACTTTAAAAAAAGAAAATTTGATGAACGTTCTGGTACCAAATACTTTGCGTCACACCAAGGCACACCTAACGAAATATCTTGTGGTTTGTAAAAGATTTATCTACTTTTAAAGGCGATGGTAAAAGGTTTATAAAAACCGTATTTATGGTAAAATTTGCAATTTTAGACTTTTATATGAAAGAACAACGATAAGGAATGTAGTAAAATATACCATCATTTCCTTTCATTAATTCGCAAAACAAAAATGGGCTTAAAAAACTTACATACAATTTGCTCTAAAAAACCGACACGAACAATGTGACTTTTTAAGCAAGTTTAAGCGGGCATTTTATCATAAAAAAATATATTTCTTTTAAAATCATAATCTCTGTGCTTTCTTTTTTTATAACTCGTAATTTAAAATTTACTATGTTGATTTTTACAAAATAGGGTTTTGTCCGCGATTTTTGAAATTCCTCCCAGTGTGCGTCGCGGCGACCCGTTTTATCGCGCTCCGCCTTACAAATGTTTTTATATCTCCATTCCTAGAAGAGATTCATTTTTTTTCTAAACGCAAATCTATTTAATAAGGTTTCTTTTATATACACTATTTTTTTCGTTACAAATTTCGATGAAGAACACAATTTTTTACAATTTTTCATAAATATTAACCTAAAAAATATATAAACATGCAAATTTTGAAGGTTATAAATTTTTTTTATCGAAACTACTTTAAAATCTAAATTAATTGGTGATTTAATTTTAAAAATCAATGCATTACTTTAGGAGATATTAATTTATAAAAAAAAAGTGTCTTAAAACTTAGTTCATTAATGTTTGAGACAAAAAAAAAATTTTTAGACAAATTTTTGGGCAAATCGGTGGAGGTGCTTAAACTTTACCCAAAAAATATATTTTGAACAAAAAATTTGACTGAAGGGTTTTTGGGTGGCCCACTTGAGAAATTTTTACCCATATGGCAACGGTGTATATCTGGAATTTTAAATAGCTAAAAGTTAATTAGGTAATAAATTGTATTATTATTTTATCAAAATATTATTTAAAAACTTTGGTACAAATATCATTAGGGTAGTATTAAGATAGAGCTCTTTAATGTTAAAAATCTTTTTTTGCAATTACTCTTGCAATTGTACAGTGGCGTAGATAAAGGGGGGTCGTGTTACTTTTTCTGCCCTATTTTCTATGCCACTGGATATTTAATTTTTGAATTCTTCAAAAATTATTTTTGCCTATTTTAATAATTATTCCAAAATTAACATTACTCCCGGCGCATTCGCCATTATTGCAACTGTAGACTGTATCTCCATCTATATTTTACCATGGGCAACTAAGAAAAGAAAACTGTAATTTGCTGTGGAAAATTTCTGAAAATGGTTTGTAGCTTTTATTCGTATATTTTGTAGAAACGTAATAAAATATTGCATTAATTTTGTAAATTTATATGGCGTAAAGTGCGTATTACATAAAATAACATCTGCCATTAATATTGAAAACTTTCCAGATTTATTTCGAAATACAATGTTTATTTTGATAAAAACAAACAAATACCGTTATATGGCGTGGAACGAAATTAGATTTCACGCCTACGTTTTCAAAAAATTGGAACAATTTACCTCCACACCTGTTATGCGTATTTTTGAAATCGTTACGAGGCAATATGCAATTTCGTCACATTCTGACAAAGAAAACAATTGGGTAGAAAATAAATATAGCGTTTATTATCTCTGTATAATAAAATAAATTACAAATAAAAAAATACAAAGTCTCCTAATTTCTTACTTTCCAATGATGATTTTTCTGCCGGCACCCATGTTCTGGCCGGCTTGGGTGGCACCCTTGTTGGATCCAGCTTGAAGACCGATCATGGTCTGACCGGCTTTCAATTGTTCTTCGGTGAAGTCGCGTTTGTTTTCGTCGGAAGGTTTGGGTCCCAAGTAGGGTCCCTTCCATTCCGGGTGCTTGTAGGTCTGTCTACCCAAAGCGAACAGGGTGTTGGTCACTCCAGCGATGTCTTTGGCTTCCCACAGGTCCACAGTCTGGAACACATCGATGTCAGCCACTCCGTAAGCCTTCATGGCTGCTTGGAAGCTAGAAGAAGTTTTTGGTTGTAATATTTTGTTTTTGAAGAATCAGGAGCATCTTTTGCCAAATATAAAAAGTAGTATGCACAGATAGATATTTTGGTATTATAGAGCAAGAGAACGTTGGAAACGCACCTGAATCAACGATGAAAAGTATATTTTGGAAAATGTTGATGATTTTTTGCTTAAATTTGTGATAAATTGTAAACTCTTTTTTGATATTGTTAATACGAAAAAGGACAACTTCGGTGAAGTTTTAAACAAAAGTACTTTTCAACAACAAAGCAAAGTGTAACTGAGTTACACTTCGCTTCTGAAGATGACAACATCGTTGGCGAAAACTACTTTAAGCACTTTGTGTTTTGTTTTGGTGTTGGGGAATACTTCTAAAATTTGTTTGATAATGATAATGTTTTTTATAATTTGAGATTTTGGTGCAAATTTGGACGGCATCTTCACTTACTTGTTGATGTTTTCCATCATCTTGAACTGTCCACCGGTGGTGTTGATTTTGGGGATGGATCCAGGGGCGAGTTTGTTCATGACTTGGCACAAAACAGTTCCGTCCTTAAGGACATCCTCGTATCTTTGACCTGGGGGGAATTTGGCTCCAAGGATGGTCTCCATCCATTCTTGGGCTTCTTTGTCCTGTTCGGGGCTACGCTTGGACGCGAGCTACGAGTAAAATAAAATTAACAAAAAATCAATAACGTTAATAAAATATTACCTTAGCGGCTACTTGACGTTGCAAAGACATGTTGGTTGCTGTATGAGACTTGCTAGTGTCAGGTTAAACACTTAAGACTGATATTTTTAGGCGTCGCTACGCTTTTATGCGTCCCAACCCCCCTCCCAGTTTCGCGTGAATTTCGCTAATTTTAGAAAATTATTCATTTTTTCCGAATATTCTGTATACTAACTAAAACAATTGTTCCAGAATGTTTTAGAACTTAAATGATCTCTATTTCCATAACTATGTTATACTGGGTATAAAGGTTTATTACTTTTTAGCCCATTTTTTAAGGGTTACATTTTTTCGTCTAAGATGAACATTCTTTTAATGACACGTAATGCCTATTGTTGTGTATTGTAAAGTGAGCCGTACTGTCAGTGTAAGTTTGTTTTGTGTATTTTTTCTTCAAAATGAATTAAAAATGACAGTTTCAATATTAAAATACAATGGTGGTTTGTTCTATATGTGGTTATAGTGACAAGAAAAGCCTTTGACAGTTAAAAATCTATAGATAAAATATGCAGTATTTTATTCAGAATGATATCATTTATAATTAAATTATGCATAAAACTGAAACATGAATCATTTGTTTCCATGGTAATTTTACTAAACAATTGTTTTTAGGCATCATTATAATAAAAAAACTGTTTTGGAATTTCGGTTTATTTTTTCTTAGTTTACATACATGACTTATACATAGTGGACTAGAATTCATTGGAATGATACTGGGTGTAACAATATTATTTCGACATTTACATATATAATATAATTCAGGGGAAAAATACAATCATTACATATATACAAAATTTTGCATTTTATTTTTTGTTTTTAAAAAAATTGTAAAGACACCGTATGTTACAAATACCTTCTAATATTTACAAAAAAGGGGGGTAATATTATTTTTTTAACAATTATAAAATATTATTTTATTTTTTATAAATAAGGAAAATCCGTATACTATAAATCGTATAACTGATATTTTAGACGGATTTTCAAATATATTTTACCAAAGATATGTGTTGTAAGATTTATTAATAAAATTTACGTTTTGTAACAAATTTATGAAATTGACCAAAATAACTGTGGTTTGATTGTTTTTTTGTTTCAAATCAACTTGATTCTGGATTTTTACCCAGGAAATTTATTTTTTGGATGCTCTATTTCAAACCTGGAATACAATCTTTGGTAAAACATATTTTTAATCAAAAATTCTCATTTTTTATCACACATATAACTGCTAAATATAAATTAAAACAAGTGATTTGTCTGGGGTTTTAAATGGTCCCCCAGTAAGTAACTGGCAGCACCACCAGGGCCACCCAGCAGGGACGTGAAGGGAGAGGATAGAGCACCCTGTAGATGGGATTGCTGAGACGACAAAACCTTGTTAGCCTGCTGCACCAGCAGTGCTGTGTTGCAGGATTGAGGTGACATCGAAGACCACTTGTTGTTATTCGAAATTAGAAGGTCCTCTGATAGTTTGCCTGAAAAAAGAAAAATTTTGAGTATATTGCAAAGCAGAAGAAAAAAACAACTTTTTAACAGTGTTATACTGGGTATCACCTGATAATAATAAACACACTGTTCAAAATTTCATGACCATTTTAACACCATACATGGTCTATATCAATACAAACCAAAATGGTGTTAAATATGGTACGTTGGTCCGGTGTAAATTCAAATACTAAAATAGTGTTAATTTAATTTTCACTCAGTATTAAAATAAATTTTACCTGGTGTAAATTGAACTCCTTTTCAGTGTTAAATATTATGTGTTTGTGGTCAAATTAAATCATACTACACAGAAAAAAGGAAACAGGAAGATCCTTGACGCATTACTAGTATATTACCAGTGGTATTATTCCAGAAAATGGAACCTTCAACTCGCTAGAGATAATGTTTTTAGTGCGTTCCACTAACTTAAAATACTTCAAGTATTGACAGCTGTTTCCACCTATTTAAGGTCTCTTTAGTATCGAACAACTTGTAGTGTCACACCAAAGCAAAGGACTACCTGAGCTTATATATTCTTCATGTAAGTCAACAGAGGCGAGATTTAAGAACATCACGTGATCCACACCGCCTTTGCCGCGATCGGTATACACTATGCAACCGGGAATGCACTGCAAATTGTTTTAATCGTTTTAACAGAGTGCTTTAGGTTGAAGTAACTCTTATTTACAAACAACATATTTAGTAAAGTGAACCATACATACATACATACTATCTGGTTTAGTACCGTCAGACTAATCTTTGTTTATATTAACCTTCCCACAGTTTATAAAAATAAAAAAAAAATACAAAAATAAATACATATAGGTCAACTAAATTAATATAGTTAAATAAACTATTCCTTTTTTTCTGTGTAGGTGCACTTCTCAAATATTTTTAGATGAACACCGTTTTGGTGTTTGCTGTATATAACATTTTCAACCATAATTCATGGTGTTATATTAACACCACTTGGTGTAAACAGTGCACCAAAAACGAAAGTTTTTTTGCAAAAAACATGGTATCTACCATATTTGAGTAGTTTAAAAACAGATAGAGACTACATGAAAAAGCAGTACATCGTATATCATTGCGCTTGAAATCGACAGAGACAATATTATTTTTCGATGGGAATGATAAATCTAGGGGACCATCTGTGCAACATCAAAATATTTCATATGTGTTATTCATTTTCAATATCGGAATTGCCCGGACCCCAATCCCCAAACGCTCTCGTCCTATTGGCTCGCACGGAGCTATGTCAACGTACAACCCCGCACTGTTGCCAGATTGTGCGAATATTAGCTCTGGAGTTCTGTCAATTCTGTTTTGGATTTCTTTAAATTTATTTATACCTGAACATCTTATTGTTCGTTGCGTTACAGTCACAGACCACCAAAACAAATGGACGGATTTGTTTACGTTTAAAAAGCGAGTAAAGCATAGTTTCACATTCTAAACACCGTCGAAAGAAACACGGCTTCCAACGTTGTCAGAAGTATAGATTACACGCCTTTTTGGACGTTCATCATAACATAATGAACATTAATAATTACCAGTAATTCGTTTAAATAATAAAAAAATTGTAAAAAGGATTTGTTTATCATTTTCTTTAGATATTTTTCTCTATTTAAAGAAAGTAAATCATTTAATAATTATTAAAATTAAATATTAACAACGTTGGTAAATTCGTCATATTTGACAGCATAGAAAAAGGTTGACAGCTTGTTGTTTTGTGTTTTCGTTTGTGTATTTCTATCGTGTTTAAGTTAATTATGGAGTTTAAATACATGATTTTTTTACTAAAAATAACAATACATGGAAATATCGTTTGTAAGTACCTACCTATTTATTATTTTTTAATCCCAATACGTCACTGGAAGAAAACATAAAATTCTATCGCCAATTTAACGCTCAGACTGTGACCGTTTTTTGACGTCACTGGAAGAAAACATAAAATTCTATCTCTAATTTGACGCTTAGACTGTGACCGTTTGTTGACCGCAAACAAAGCATTGTTATTGAATGGCAATGCGCCGTCCATTTGTTTTGGTGGTCTGTGGTTACAGTTAAATGTTACGTGTTTTTGACAATTTTTGTGTGACCGCCAATGGAGGCGGCTGCGGCGGCGGCAAACGGTGCGAACGACGCAGGACAGCAGGAGAGGAGAACCCGGCGTGCCGTTCTGACATTTAATCTAGAAAATTGCCGGTTCGCGTTCATTTATTTCCATTACTGTCAACTCTTTAGTTTGCCGGGAAATTTTCTCGAGCCAGGCAAAGCTGGCGGTGGCGGAAAGAAGAGTGGAAGAGCAGGCCCGACACCAATCACGAATGCCGTGCAGTGCCAGGCCTGCCTGATGTCATGGTGATAAGGAGTCTCCCGCCTGTCCGTTTTCCTTGCGTTCTGTTACGCTACCAATGTCCATTTGAATGATTAATTAATTACTGATTTTTGCCCATGGTAATTTTACTAAACAATTGTAGGAAAAAACATTTGGTTTCAGTACACTGTTTAAAATATCAGTGGTGTAAAAAGTATTCTTAAAATGGTGTCCAACACCAAGTGGTGTTAATATAACACCATGAATTATGGTTGAAAATATGGACCGATCGCGGCAAAGGCGGTGTGGATCACGTGATGTTCTTAAATCTCGCCTCTGTTGACTTACATAAAGAATATATAAACTCAGGTGGTCCTTTGCTTTGGTGTGACACTACAAGTTGTTCGATACTAAAGAGACCTTAAATAGGTGGAAACAGCTGTCAATACTTGAAGTATTTTAAGTTAGTGGAACGCACTAAAAACATTATCTCTAGCGAGTTGAAGGTTTCATTTTCTGGAATAATACCACTGGTAATATACTAGTAATTCGTCAAGGAACTTCCTGTTTCCTTTTTTTTCCTTTTTTCTGTGTAGTATGATTTAATTTGACCACAAACACATAATATTTAACACTGAAAAGGAGTTTTAATATTTTAATACTGTGTGAAAGTTAAATTAACACCATTTTAGTATTTGAATTTACACCGGCCTACGAACCATATTTAACACCATTTTGGTTTGTATCGATATAGACCATGTATGGTGTTAATTTGGTGTTAAAATGGTCATGAAATTTTGAACAGTGTAAATGATTAATAACTGGACAAAAAAAACAAGACAATATATTTTATGAAAATTTTAAACATGTAATAATATAATAATAGTTATTTTTACTTAATTTCATTGCTGACGACTGGCATAAAATTATTATTGTAGAAACAACACATCTTCAAAAATTTTCATAAAACATTTTGTTTTTTTTTCTTGTCCTGTTAGTAATCACTGTCCTGTTTATAATACGTTTTGAAGTTAAGTCAAACAATAATAAAATTCAAGGTTCAAATACATCGTTGATATGCAAAAAGTAATGAAATTGAAAAATGTAAACACAATTTTCTAAAATTGGCACAGAAACTCAAACGCAGCGCCTCACTAAACGCATTTTACGCGTTTTAAATTTAAAATATATGAATAATATAATTTTAAAGATTATATCAGCTTTGTTTGGTGGGTGTTTGGTAAACAATATCAGAATTTATTAAATAACTACATTTTATTAAATTAAAATTAAAATGTTGAATACGAATTTATAATGAAAAATTACTCTTGTAATTAATTTAATTTTTTTAAATAAACTCAATACCAAATTGTTACTTAATTAATAGTATATTAAAGAACTAATGTCATAAGACGTAATTTTGACAAAAGGTCTTATAACATGAGTTCTTTATGCTATTTTATCTATTTGCAAAATTTCTATAAAAAAAATAATTTTATACCTTATATTTAAATTGGTCTAATTTTACTTTAGGTAGTTATCACAGTCATTGGTTTGAAGGGTTAATGTCAAAATCGATTCGCCATGGCGTCCTTAATTTACTTATTTACAATAAGCGGCTGTTAATGTTAAAGAAGAAAAAAAGGATTTTCTTTGGTGTTAAACAAAATTTATTGCCAGAAAAGTCTCGTAAGTACTAGAAAAATCATAAAAATATTATAACCAATATGCAAAATATTATTTTACTAGTATGCTGTTTAGCCAACCTATAAAATCAAAATTTTGGGTGGGGTAAAGAACCTCATTACAGCACCGAAAGCGGTGTTACAATGAAGTCATTATGAACGCAAAATAGATAAAAATGATTTTCTGGTAATTTTTGGCAAGATGTGTAAAATAAATATTCGTTTAAAAAAAGACGTTTTTTACACCATTTTAGTATTTTTTGTTTTTTTTTTTTTAATTTGAAACTTTGAGAATACCTTTAGAAGAGTCAAAAAGTAAGAAAAAACCTCGTTTGAAAAAAATATGATTTTTTACACTTGTAGGGTGTTTTCTGTTTTTTTAATTAATACATTAATTTTTTTAATTAATTTAAAATTCTGAAAGTAAAAAGTAAGAAATAACCTTGTTGGAAAAAAATTGATTTTTATCACTTTTTTTGTATTTTTCAGATTTTTTTTTCAAAAAGTGGTCGGGGCTCAGGTTACAAATTAATTAAAAATCTGAAACTTTGGGAGTACCTACCTTTAGAAGAGTCAAAAAGTAAAAAAAAATCTCTTAGGATTTCTTCCGTTAAAAAAACAATGGTCAGGGCTTAGGTTAAAAATCTGAAACTTTGGAAGTACCTTTAAAAAGTCAAAAAGTAAGAAAAAACTTTGTTTTAAAAAAATATGATTTTTTTACACTTGTTTATACAGGGTACTTCTTTAGTGTCCAAAAAATTCTAAAGACTAAAAATAATTTATAATAACCTTTATTCTACCTATAAGTAGGTACGCCACTGATCGAATACGAAGTTAAGGCTAATCTGGTTGCCTAATTTAATTTATTATGTTATGGTTGGTAACAACCAGCGTTTCCAGATTCTGTCAAAAAAAGTTGCCAGATTTTGTTTAAATTTAGCTTAATTACAAAAATGACAATATCAACAATGCATTTTTGCAATGAAGGTAAATTCAAACAAAATCTGTCAACTTTTATGACAGAATCTAGTGCATTATTTTCAAATTTTAGGTTATGTGATCAAATTGTAAATCTAAGGGAAGTGCTTTTGGATTTATTTACTCAATTTAAATGTTAATTAAAGTTTAACCTGTGAACTGGTCCCAATTTCATCCGAGTAAACAGAAAGAAAAAAACCGATGAAAAAATTAATTTTGTGGTTATGGATTTTTTAAAATAGGTACTAAATTTTCTAATCATTGCCTAAGCTAATAGCTGGATGAGTAAATAAATACAGCAGGGTATTAGAGCTTTAAGGTCATAAAACTTTTGTATTTATTGAGTTTTTATTTATTGTTTGCAAGACAATATTTTTTACAACTGGCAACGCGCAGCTACTTTGTTGGTTGGTATCTATGTACTCACAGAACACTAGTGTCACCAGTGGCGTATCACAAAAAATGTAAAAAACTTCTAATGCATGTTTCTTTATCTTTGGGAAAATATTTTTTTTTGCATTTTTTCGTTACACCTTATGTCAAAAGGTATTATAAAATATTACATTAATTACATAACACCCTGTATATTATAATTTAAAGTATTTGATTTTTGACTGGAACTGTCAATCATTTTAAATTTAAGTCGATGTAGATGCGTTGTATATTTTGTTTTCTTGACAACCGTTTTAATGATTTTTAAATCGCCTTATAAAATAATTACAGAAAATCGTAACCAGAATTAATATTTGGTTGTATTGATGTTTTGGTGTACCATATTTTAACGTATTATGTTGCTTTTTTATTGTTGTTTTCATACCTACATATGAGTACCTTAGATGCAAAACTCGGTTTTTGCAAATTTAAAAAAAAAAAAAATTGGCTTTAAATTCTGTTTGGTGTTCGTCCTAGATAAATGGCGTTTATAAAACTTGATACATAATAATATATATAATATAATATTATTATGTATCAAGTTTTATGAACGCCATTTATCTAGGACGAACACTAAACAGAATTTAAAGCCAATTTTATTTTATTTTTTAATTTGCAAAAACCGAGTTTTGCATCTAAGGTACTCATATCTACTTTATAAGATCTATTTTAACATTTTGAAAATATTTTATTACTTTTCGAATATTTTTACTCACCATTGCTCCCATTCAGCGGCTTGATATCCCCTTGACTGGAATGATGACTAGAAACACTACTGGTATTTGAGTTAGGCGTAGTCGAGACACTGCTATTGGGGGAGCCGGGTTTCACGTCTTTGCCGCCGCCGCTGGACATGTTGTTCTTGGACGTACCGTTGCTTTCGGCTTTGATATTGGGCAGGTTGGGACTTTCGCTGTTCGAGTTCGTCACCTTTTGTTGGGCCAGACGTTCTTGTTTTCGAAATTTCGCTCTGCGATTTTGAAACCACACCTGAAAGATCAAAAATGGTAAATTTTTAGACCTTTGTTAATTTTATTGCTATTTGGGGCATTCATTTTTTTAAATTTATCAATTACTTCACCAATGTTCAAATAAACACAACCGAACTTATATGATTTGGAAATAAAAAGCACTTTATCCGAACCAATTTTATTACAAAAATAAAGAAAAATTTATTAAAACAAATTTTCTAGGGAACAGATTTAAAACAAGTGAATTTATCTGAGAATAAACTTTCCTATACATTAGAATTTAGGAAGAAATAATAGGTTTTTGTTAATTTATTAATCAGTGTTTTTACTTCTATAGCCTTAATGAAAGCACGAGTTCGACGAGGCATGCTTTTTATTTTAAGTTATTTATTTCTTTATGTTGAACTTTTTTCCACCCCTCTAAAACTACTTCCATTAGGTAAAGTAGACAGTTTTCGGACACTTTATAGTTATTGGACAATTAACATTAATACTGTAAAAACAAGAGTTCGATAAATAGTTACCTTAAAGTCAAATCATTAGATGACGCTGTATACAATTATAAATATCTCAGTCGGAATAATATAGAACTTGTTCTTCTTGTTTTTTGCTAAGAGCAGGGCTTTGTTTAAATTATAATAAAAAATATTTCTAAAAAGTGTTCAGATCAGTGTGTGGTATAAATGTGTTCCTCATGGTTTAAACATTGTCACTTTAATGCGTTTTAATTTTAATTCTGAAAACAAACAGTAAAATAGCCAGTGTCCAATTACTGGTTGGTAAAAAATGTAAATTTTTATTATTGGACATATGTCCAATATCATACTCTATTTATATCCCGGACATTTACCAGCCAATTCTTATGTAAAATTTTCCCCTGAATCCGAAAAGACCGTCAAAAACTATAAAAGTTAAGCAGTTTTTGAGATAAAGTCAATTCTATATTGTAAAATGTAAAATTGATTATATTTCAAAAACTGTTCTACTTTTATAACTTTTGGCGACATTTTCGGACTTAGCGAATAATATTTCAAAGGAATTGACTGCTAAATGTTCTGGATACAAATGACATTTTTGAATAATTCATTTTTAGAGAGTGAGTAATATAGTGATTTCTTCGTCACAGGACATCTTGCAGAATAACAGTGATTTAAATACAGTGCATGATAGAGAGCATAAAAAATAAAAAACTAATGGCAACAAAATTAATAAATTCGGAAAATACTTTCAACATACCACCCGAAAATATATTAGATATATATAAATCATCCTGTTCCGGCCTAAACATAAATGCTTCACAAACTAAAGATACCACACAATGATATTTGCTATAAACTATTTCAGAAGTCAGACCAAGAAATTAGTAGTTTCCTTCAGAATCCAGAAAAGAGATGAGGAATCCGAGAAAGAAATATATGAATTATATGATATTTACAGAAACGATATAAAACAAAATTACCCAAAACAGCAATTTATCTTTAAAAAATATTTAACAATTTATGTTATTTGATGTAAAGTTGTTATGTTTATATAAAAATTGTATGTCCAATAACTATGGTCCATGTGTTCAATTACTATATAAAATGTCAAATTACTATACTTTTTACAAACATACTATCCTTTTTATATATTTATAAGAAAAATCTAAAATATTTAAAACAACGGCATATATAAATTTTAAATAAATAATATTCCTTAACTGTCCAATAACTATGTGGTTTACTCTTTTTGTTTATTTGTTCAATACAAAATTTGTTTTGATATTTTTTATACATTTTGCAAAGCCTTGAAAAAAACTATCCCAATGAGTGGAAAAAACTTAAAATTAAATACACATATTTACAAATTTTAGTTATGTTAAACATGACCCAATGAACGGTTCGTCAGGCAGGCTAATGAACGTAATCAATTTGCCGATTTATTTATCCAGACAACAGAGGGCAGCAGCCCCCCGCGCCCCCAAACAAACATTGTTTTTGATTTCGGTACGGCTCATAATGAAAATCGCGGAAATTGCGCTGCGCTCCGGCCGGAAAACTCGACACGTCCTAAATGTTGATTTTAAATACACAACTGCGATTTGTTTCATTCGCTGTTTCCCCATTTGTGACTGGCATGGAAAATTTCGACAATTATTCCTTGTTTGCGATACTGTGCAAACGCCAGCCAAAAATTCCGCTGATTAGAATGGTTTATCCGAGCGCGAAACAAAAAAGTGGGCATCAAAAATACAGAGGTGCATGTATGTGGATGCATGTTTTAACATGGCATAAAGGGAAGCTAAAATCACCTGTTAATTTTTAATAATCGTTTGCGAGCTGTCACACGTCCAAAATTACTTATTACTTTGTGCCCAGAGATAGAGTTTTTTAAGGATTTTTTTTTGACATATGGGTGATTCTACAAAAGTTGGACAACTTGATGTCATCAGTTAATAGAGTACACTCAGAAATTTTTTTAATAAATATAACAAAAAAAGTAGTTTGTCTTAATAAAGTAAAGATCCCTATTCGTCCAACAATTGCTTTTGTTACGGCAAAAAGATCATTTTTATAAAAATTATTTATCTACAAACGCTGCTTTCAGTAATAGCATTTGTATTAATTATAAAGTAAATTTACGTTATGTTTATAAAAATAACACTCTTCCAGATGCAGAAACGCATTGATAAATATAGTTATTATTATTTGTCCAAAAAAACAGTTCTATACCGTTTACAAAAACGTTTTGTAGTATTATAATATATATATATGAAACCCTAATATTATTATTCATAGAAATATTGTAAATTTTACAAATCCCTTTTCGTTTAAAATAAAACTTTTTTTATTATATTAATAAAATTTATGTAAATTTAACAACAAATTAATTGTTAATTCAATAAACAATTTTCATTGTAACAATGGTCAAATTTTCAACCTACTGTTGGGTGTTTGGTAGTTTTTTTTTTAAATAATTGCAAGGCATTAAAACAAATTATTTATTATAACAAAAAAAATAACTCATATTATATGATGTACAAAATAAAAAAATACAAACTCACTTTTTAAACAAGAATAGACCTTAAATATTTCTATTACAAAACGTCGGAATTTTAATTTTCTTAGTGATCTTTTTGATATTTTTATCATGCTAGATTTTACCACACTTCACTCGCACAAGTGAAATCAATAAGATTATAACACAGGCTGGATTATAAGTTATGTTCACCAAGGAGAGCGCTGGCCCTTTCCCCCTCTTTTTAAGGGAAATAACAAAAATTTTGTTACCATTGCACAACAATAGTAAATATTAAAAAAGTCTTTTTATAGCAATAAAATATTTTTGTTATATTTCTTAACATAAGCTATTAACAAAGATTTTCTAACTGAAATAAAATTAATTTCAATTACAACGATAGTAATTTAAAAAAGACAAATATGCCATAGTAAAATGAACAAATTTTACTATAGCAACTACGCATTACTTTATGTAAGCGCAATTCACACACAACTATAGATTTAACAAAATCATTTTAAGTTCGACAAAGATTTAATATAAACATAAAGCATTTCTTATTGCCATGACAATATGATAACAACTATTACTTTGTTGGATGAAAATTTTTTTTATAGAAGCTCAACATTGCTGCTTCATATAGTAAATAAGAATTTTATTAACAGTAAAAAAAGTTTATTCTGTAAATAAAAATAATCTTATTACTTTGACAAATCGTAGGTTTTTGTCCCAATAAGACACTGAAAATTTAATAAAAAAGGTACCTTAGGTGGTACATTTTTTTATAGCCATTACAATTTTAAATTTAAGTTAAATAATATTATTTTATTAATCGCTTACAAAATTAGTTTTATTATCAGTGCATGTACATTTTTCTGAGTGTAGGTATTTTAATATTTTTTGTAAATATTTTAGTATATTACAAAAGATCCAGGTTTTTTTTAACCCAATTTTAATGTATTTTTTCAAAAGCACGTTTGTAGAAAAACATATTAAATATTCAAAACATCAGGACCTTGGCGTGTCACAAATCAAATAATTGAGTGAATTTTATAATATATAATCAATTTATCTTAATTTTTTCAATTTCACTATGTATTTTTCATATTTTATCATAGATTCGAATAATAGCAATTTTTAAAAAATTGATAATCTTTGTACTCATTTTTACCCGTCAGTTCTGTGTCCAATGTTAAAATTCAAAATTCCTGCGAAATATTGAAGTTTAAACGTCGTCCTCGTTTTAACTCAAGTGTTGGTAAAAAATTACCTACAGAGCCCGCCCTTTGCACGACAGTCATCTTGAAAACAATGCAAGCGGCGAAGTTGTGGTGAATGCACGTATAGTTCCAGTTAAAATTTCAGTACTGTGGTAAGTAGTTATTTTCTTACGTATATATATTTCGTAGTAATTTATATAAGGCTATATGTGATTTGTAGATAAGTAGCATCCACTAATAAAAAATATCAGTAAAATACTTAATTCCGAATTATAATCTAAAATTTGTATCCCATTCATCAGTAACGTGTCGTCAGTTCCATGTTCGATGTTTCGGTTATCTTTTTTTCGCAAAGTTCATATTTAATTCTGCTTTCGCAGAACTGGTTTATTTAATGTCATTATAAAATCATATATATATAATTTATAAATTTGGTGTGGGTCGCATATCTAATAATTAAGATATCGGTATACCCAAAATCCACCAGCCGCCACTGATGTGTGGTATTATTTGATTTTAAGATATTTAACTTTTTCAAAGTTTCTGAAATATCTGTGTTTTCTAAATTTGAATGCAAGGGAAGTGACGAGTATACCAGGCCCTGGTAACCAGGGTACTAATTAAACACATAATTTATTGGAAAATTTAAGATTTATTGCAACTTTGAGCATATTATACACTATAGTGTATATTTGAAAAAGTTACTGGCCCGGTCTGGAACAGTATATTTATTATATTATCTATGTTCTCAGAACAAAATACTGTTTAATTTTCTCCGAAAACTATATAAACAAAATGAGGTCAAAAGTTGCCCATATATATGTATAATCGGCCATTTTTTTAAATTGTATCCTTTGGAGATTCGAATAGATTATGAAACTGTGATTTTACATTTATACCTATTCCATACAAAAAAATTAATTTTATACCTTAAATTTAATTTGGTCGAATTTTACTATATATGGTATTGGTTTGACAGTTAATGTCAAAATCGATTCGCCATGCCGTCCTTAATTTACTTATTTACAAAAAGCGGCTGTTAATGTTAAATAAGAAAAAAAGGAAAAATCATAAAAATATTATAACCAATATGCAAAATATTATGCTGCTTAAAGTACAGCCAACCTATAAAATCAAAATTTTGGGTGGGA